AAAAGATAGTATTTTAAATATTTTTGCCACAAAGAAATGTTAAATATTTGAGGTGATATTCTAATTACCCTGATTTGATCATTCCACAATGTACACACATATTGCAACATCACATTGTACCACATAAACATGTAGAATTATCAAAACATTTTGTTTTAAAATGTTTTCAACATTTTATAAAACTTTACTGTTTTGTTGTTGTTGTTTTTTTTTTGAGACAGAGTCTTGCCCTGTCGCCCAGACTGGAATGTAGTGGCTTGATCTTGGCTCACGGCAACCTCTGCCTCCTGGGTTCAAGTGATTCTCCCACCTCAGCCACCCTGAGTAGCTGGGAATACAGGTGCACACCACCACACCTGGCTAATTTTGTATTTTTAGTAGAGATGCGGTTTCACCTTGTTGGCCAGGCTGGTCTGGAACTCCTGACCTCAGGTGATCTGCCCACCTTGGCCTCCCAAAGTGCTGGGATTACAGGAGTGAGCCATTGCACCTGGCCCAACACTTTACTATTAAGCATAGTATTTATGGTAGGTACGTGTAGATAGATAACTTTCTATAGGTTAGCATGTTTTCTTTCTATTTTTAACTTAGTTTCTTTTTAGATGAAGATTTCTTTTTTAAATAGTTAATATGATAAATTGCATTGATAATATTTTTATGTAGAAATTTCCAATAGACACAAAAGTAGAAGAAAATATAATGATTTCCAAAGCCCCAGCTTTGGTAATTGTAAACACTAGGCCAATTTTAAAGTAACTGGTTGCAGGGGAGGGTCATCAATATTCCCCCATGAATTTGCTTTAGCATTTTAAAGAAAATCTAAGCACTGTATTACTTAATTCTTGATTACTTAAGTATGTATCTCTCACATAAAACACCTTTGCAAACATAACTACCATGCTATTATCACATGTAACAAACAAATACCTAGAAATATGCCCTAAACAAGATTTCATATACAAATATGGTGATTTCCTCAAAAATGTCTTTTTATAATTGTCTTGCTCAAATCAAAATACAAAGAAGAAACAAATGTTTTTTTTTTTAAAAAAATACAGATGCCTTGGACCCACTCAAGACACAGTCTGAATTTCTGAGGCTGGGCCTTGGAAATAGGTATTTTAAACACACTTGCTGGGAAATGTTTCCACACTAGCTCAGCAGCGGCCTGTGGGCAGGCATTTGGAAGCCAACAACCTCCTAGACCATTGGCTCTAACTCTGAATCTATAGAGCAAGATCTCTATGCACACGAAACTTTCTCAATCCCAACTGTTGGAATGAAAAATCCCATTGAGTTGGGGGCTTGTCCTTTCCTCTTACCTCTCTGGAGAGGAATCCCTAACTTCTCTTTCCTAGCACTTCCCACTTCAAAGGGATGATCCCAGAAAGCGGGGACCTCACCCATATTCTGCCTACTGCGTGCTGCCCCATGCTGAGTGTTCATGGATTCTCTTCCTCTCCCTGAACCCTCCCTGAAAAAACAAGTTCACAGGCCTGGCTCTCGTGACTCAGCTGCCCCATCCCACCCCAAGACCTCTCTCTGTAGGATAAACAACTCCAGTTCCCTTTTAAATCTCAAACAACTTGGGCTAATTTTATCTAACCTTCTCCAAAGTCCCACCCTGTTTGGGCAACTAGTTCTCTGGCCAGGGAGCCTGGCTGCCATGGTGAGCTATGAGAACAGACAGAAAAGCTCTAGACTAGAGTTCCTGGCTGGAATGGACCCCAGAGCCACGTTCTAGGTCAAGGGAGGAAAAGCACCTTCATCCACGGAGAAGCGGGTGTTGGTGACGGTCCAGTTGGAGTGCTGGGTGCTGTTCACAGCCCGCACTCTGGCCCGGTAGCCACTGCTGTGGTACAGGTCCAAGGTCACTGCGGTGAGGTCACAGGACAGCATCAGGGTCTGCCTACAAGTGGGGATGAGCTTCCAGGGCTCTATTCCATACCTGAGGAGATACCAAGGTAGGCAATGGAGAGGAGCTTGTACTCAATCCTATCTCCTTTAAGGGAGATGCAAGAGGCCAGGAAGAGAGCTCCCACAGCAGGAGGAACTGGGACAGCCCTCAGGGTATATCCTCTAGTCCACAGCAGCTCCTTGTGAGGGGTCTCCCTTGGCCCTGGGACCCTGTGCCAATTTCCGTGTGGTCTAGAAGATTCTTAGATGGGAATATGAGTAGTCTCAGCTCTTCCAGAAAGCCTTGCAAGCTCCTGCAGCACAGTGCAGTCTCTGCCTTCTCCCCACTGTGTTTGCAGTCATTAGGGTTCCCCTGTTGTCTGGCTATACTATGGATGCTTCTCCTGCTAAGACAGAAAAGCCCTGGGGGCTGGCGGTGGTGGCTCACGCCTGTAATCCCAGCACTTTGGGAGGCTGAGGCGGGCGGATCACCTGAGGTCAGGAGTTTGAGACTAGTTTGACCAACATGGTGAAACCCCGTCTGTACTAAAAATGCAAACGTATAGCCGGGAGTGGTGGTGGACCACTGTAAATCCCAACACTTGGGAGGCTAAGGTGGGAGAATTGCTTGAACCCAGGAGGCAGAGGCTGCAGTGAGCTGAGATTGCACCACTGCACTCCAGCCTGGGAGACAGAGGGAGAAGCTGTCTCAAACAAAACAAAACAAACAAACAAAAAAACAACAAAAAAGAAAAGCCTTAGAGCAAAGGCTCTTTTTACTCTGGAGCGATCCAAGTCTCCGACCTTCTCACCCAGAGCTCCGGGCACATTGCTCAGTGCAGGAGTCTCTATCAGTACTTGTCAACTGCTGGCTATGTGCTAGGGGCCCTCAGGCACTCACTTCCTTAACAAGGCAGGCATCTTCCCTTGCTAGGGAAGTAGGGGACAAGGTGGGAATTCACTCCTCCCTCCCGCTTCCTCCTCCCTTTTCCTCACCTCAGGAGCTCCACTTCATAGAAGGTACTTTCGGACTGATTTGGGATGGGAGTCCAATGGAGGATGTGGTGGAAAAATTCTGCTTCAAACCACACAGACGGAGGGCTGGGCAGTTCTGTCCCTGGGGAGAAGAGTGTCAGTTCCACAGCTGGGAGGGCCCACCGCCCAGAGTGGCTATGAGTTGCATGAGGCCAGTGGAGCCAGTCAGGGGCAGAGTGGGAACATGAATTCAGATGTGTCTGATTCTAGAGCTACTGTGTGTCCCTAAATCATTGCCCTGTGCTGTCTGTGATCAGAAGCTGCAGTGGTGGCTGAGAAGAGTCAAGCTGAGCCTGATGCCTCCCAGGGAAGAAGGCAGGGGCCGAGGGCTAAGCAAGTCGGCAATGAGCTCTCAGATGTGTTAGTCCCTGGCTCTGCCCGATCCCTGTCCCTGCTCTAGCACTATTCCTAGGCTCGGCCCCATCTCCACATCCGATCCCCACCCCGGCTTGGTCCAGGCTCCGGCTCAAAGCTACCTCGCTAAGTACAAGGACAGCTGGCTTGCTGATATCTGCCTGCTTCTCTTCATAGGTCTGGGCTCCCCATGCTAAGTGCTTGCCTCATTTCCTAGTTTCTAGAAGGGTTTTGCCTATAGCAGATGCTCAACCTCTGGCTGGGCAAGAGAGAATAAATCAGCTCTGGTCCTAGACATGGCTGAGGACATCCCCACAAGAGCTGGCACCTGTGGCTCCAAGGCAAGATACTCAATACCAATTCCTAGGTCCACTCTCCCTTTACCCCCAGTACACACCCCTCACCATGGGAAACACTGTTGAACCTATTGTCTTCCTTGTAAGAATGCAACAAACTTTTCTACTTTAAGAGTCTTGCTGATCAAGCACACTAAAGTGGGAGCAGGGCCAATGGCTGACTGGTCCCCCTTCTCTCTTCCCTGATTCCATAACGTCTCTCCATTTGACAGTGACTCTGCTCCTGCTCCCTAGTTTTCTAACTTCTCTTCATCCCTCTAATCATGAACCTTTTTTTTTCCTGACTCTGTCATCTGTCTCTTTCTTGCTTTCTTATACTGTCTTTGATCTTCCCGTCAGTGCCTTGATTTCAAAACTTCAGACGGAAAGTGAAAAATGCAGCAAGTCTTTGTGGTGTTTGAGTCGCACATCCCCAGCGTAGCTCTCGATCACGTGAATGGCTGACCGCATGTTTTACTTTGTATTTTGATGTCATGAAGAAGCAGTTTCGGTCCCTGCTCTCTCTGTCTCTGCTCTTGGTCCCTCCAACTCCGGGCTCTTTCATTCTCTCTGTGGGGTTTACTTTTCTTAGTTGCAGAAACTTTGCCGGAGAAGTGGCTGGATTAGGAGCCTGAACTTTTATGGGCTCAGTATATGGGGAGTGCACGCTGAGTTGGGGGCTACAGGTGGAGCAAGAGGGGTCGGATGGGGGTGATCAGTGAGGGATGAAGGTGAGATGGGAGAAGGGCAGAAAGAGGTTAGTTGAAGGGCCAAGAAAAGGGAGAGCCAGGAGATCAAAACTTTTCCCCAAGGGGACAAGAAGTCCCATCATTTGAATCTAACTAGCAAAAAATCTAGGACTAAACTTATGGCTTATCGAGAAGTGGGAGGATGGTGAGGTTTGCGGGGTGGGGGTTTGGCCTTGCACATACTTCCCTATCCTTCCCAACTCCGTCAGCCCCCGTCAATCTCAGCCTCTTCCACTTCCACAACAGGTGAGCCTGAGATTCAGTCTTGCCAGAGTAAGGGAGCCCGGCCCGGCACCCCTCTCCCCCGAGTGCCGGGCACCCCTCTCCCCCGAGGGCCAGCCAGCCAGGGTACTCCACTGAATGGAGAATTTTAATGGAGTGGGCGCGGGGAGGGCAGGGCAGGGAAGGGTCGGGTCCCGGAGCCTTACCGTGAGCGTCCGAGCCAGGGCGGAGGCTGAGGAGCGCCGCCAGCAGCACTGTGAGGCGCAGCAGCATCCTGGGCGCGCCGCATTGTCCGGGGACGGAGCGGAGCCGGCCTGCGCGCCTCCAGCGACCCCTGGGCGGGGACTGACAGCTTCGCCGCTCGCTCCGCCAGCGCTCCGGGGCTGACGTCAGAGGGGCGTGGCCTACAGACGTCCGCCCCCGAGGCCGGAATGTAGGAGCTCCTTTACCTCAGGGCACCCTCCTGGGACGAACGCGCCACTGTCCCGAGGCAGAAGCGGGCTTCGACAATCCCTCCCTCCCTTCCCCCTCGAGCGCCCGTGCCCTCGGGTCGAAGGTCCGGACAGCCCTTCCGGCCTTGTGTGTGTGTGTGTGTGTGTGTGTGTGTGTGTGTGTGTGGTGTGCGCGCGCGCGCGCGTGCGTGTGTTGGGAGCGGGTTGCCAGGCACACCCTCGCCCCTGAGTGTGGAAGGTGAGGTGAGGGCGGCCGAGCTGCTTTTGCAGGGCATGCCGGCTTGGCGTTGAAGATGTGGCCGCGGCCGCTCTGCGTGGGGAGGAGGTTGCTGCAGGCGCTTGAGGGAAGGGGCCCGAGGACGCGGGTGTGAGTATTGCTTGGCGTTGACCCAGGGCCTCGCCGTCGGGGGTCTGATGACACCGAAGGTTGAATACTGAGTAGTCCCTCCTAATTGTTGGAGGGGGGTCCACGACTAAGCAGTTTAAGCAGTCTATGCAGCCCTGCCTCCAAAGTCCCAGGAAGCTGAGGCCCAAGAAAGAGGCTTGTAACCCAGCAGCTTAGCAGCTGAGCCCCAAACCGCGATTTTTTTTTTTTTTTTTTTTGGCAACTGAGTCTCGCTTATTGTCCAGGCTGGAGTGCAGTGGCGCAATCTCAGCTCGGTGCACCCTGTCTCCCGGGTTCAAGCGATTCTCCTGCCTCAGCCTCCCGAGTAGCTGGGACTACAGGCATACGCCACCACGCCCGGCTAATTTTTGTATTTTTAGTAGGGACTGTGTTTCACCATGTCGGCCAGGCTCGTCTCGAACTCCTGACCTCAGGTGATCTGCCTGCCTCGTCCTCCCAAAGTGCTGGGATTACAGGGGTGCCGCCAGCCTCAAACTGTGTTTTAAATTTATTTTTCCTTCTTTTCTTTTTCCTCTCCCCTCTCTGGGTTTCAGGATATAGCCTTGAAACAAACTGCCTGTATGTAACCTCTCATCTTAAAATACAGCCTCAGGATGTGCTGTGAACCTCCTCTCACTTTCCTGTCTCATGTGTACTCCACGGCCTTATGCATGTTTGTTTCCTTACGTGCTTGTTAAGCACAGGCTATGCCCTTATCTGGTCATATATTTCCTTAGGTGCCTCAGGGGCTGCATCCTGATAGGGATCAGACACCACTGGAATTCTCTCCAATAAAAGCTTACTTCAGGAATTGAACCTATACCCAGCTGAAGAGTAACTCATTTATAACCTGGCAGGATCCACAATTGCACCAGCCCCTCCACCAAGTAAGACAATAAGATTTGCATTTCAGATCCTTTCTTTAAAAACCCCTGGGTTCCCCCTACAAATTGAAGAGTGGAATTGTTTGCTGCCCTTCCCCTGCTAGCATGGAAGCTAGCAGATTTTTCTTTATTATCGGTTCTTTCTACAAGCCGCAAGCAGCCAGACGTTTTTGCAGGTTACAGGCTGACACATCCAGTTCCTTAGAAAAAAACATTTAATAAGGGCTTATAAACAGAAACCACATCTGTGTCTCCCTGTGGTTTCCCATGCTTCTCCCTCAGGCCCAGAGCTTGCAGACCATAGGGGAATGGTCATTCAGAAGGGATGTGCAGGACAGTTGAAGTATGATAACATCAAGGTTGTTTGACCTAAGGGCTGGATTTACAGTAGGTGCTTGCTCTCATACAAGGAGCAATAGATAACCTGGGAATCTCAGGGGCCTTCTGGGAGGCTCAGAAGCCAACTTAGCTGAAACAGTGGATTCACATCCAACATGGAGTTGGCTTTAGCCTCCACAAGGACTTCTTCCAACCTCTTTTGGGGCCCCTCGCTTGCTTGAAATCTGATGTTCAGACCAATTTTTGTATTGGGTAATAGCACTACTGGAGTACTGGGTAACACCTCAGCCCATCCTCAGTCTCTCACACCTCTGTGTCACTTGGCTCATATGAGGCCATCTCCAGGTGGACCAAAGATGAGAGGATATGGGAGATAGACTGTCCATCACTTTTTCCTGGAGACTGACACCTGCTTCAAAGCGTGTGTGTGTGTGTGTGTGTGTGTGTGTATGTGTGTGTATGTGTGTGCATGCACTTGCAGTCATATACGATTTGCAGTGGCCAGTCTGTGGATTTGGATTTCATTATGCTGTTGAGCATGTGTCTGTGAGTCTGTTTGCCAGGTGCATATGTGTGCTTGGGACTGTGTGGGCATCCCTGGAGCCCTGTGCTTGTTCTTGGAGAAGCCCAAAGAAGAGGGGCTCAGGACATTTCTGGCTGGCAACACCCCACCTCCAGGCCTGCTACCCCACCTCCCCGACCACACCCCATCCTGCCTATATTGTAGTTTGTACTTTCATTTGGTGGTTCCTGTTCCTGTGCTCTTGTCCAGTGTTCAAGAAGAATGAGGATTCGCTGACAGTTGAAGGGTGAGGATGGGCAGAGAATACTTTTATTGAACGACAGAACAGGTCTAAGCAGAGAGGGGATGGGGAGGGGGTTGGTCTCCCACCGCCGCAGTTGGTTGTTTTTTTTTTCTCGGTATGGCTGGGTCCAGGGCTTTTTATAGACTCAGTATGGGGAGTGCATGCTGATTGGTTTGTGAGTATGCAAAAAAGGTTAAAGCAAAGACACCAGTCAAAGGTAGGCATGACAGTGTAGAAAACCTATTAGGAAAGGGTAGGTGTATGTAAAATAGGTGAAGAGTAGGGATCAATCAGAGGAAAGCATGCCAGATAGGAAGACAGGTTCTCAATCCAGTCGGAGGATTTAACTTGTAGCTCAGTTTTTAGGTTTTTAAATTGTCTTCACCTTAGAGATGGGCTTTCACCAGGGACCTGCCCTATCTGCCTAGGCATTTGACTGCCTCCTATAACTATTACCTGCTCCTGGGAGGTTTCTCTGGCAGGGCCCCGTGCCCACATGGAGGGCCTTATTCACTGCAGCTTTTGAGAAAGGACTCCTAACTTGTGTGTGACATCAGAACTCTGTGTAGTCTACGAGTTAGTGTGGCATTATTCCCATGGTTTATGGAGATATAAGCCCTATTTCAATATTTGCAGAGTAGAAATCTCTCTGCCCAGTGGCCTAGCCTGAGAGTGTGCCAGGCTGGCTGGGGGAGGGAGTTGGGAGATCCCATCCTGTATCTAAGATTCCTCAGTGGGACTAGGAGGACCTCACTCTTGATGATAGCCAGGGAAGGCAGGGGTGCCCAGCTACATGGGGAGAGTAGAGTCGTATCTGCAGGCCTACCAGGACACCTCATCAGCCAGGGCCACCCTTGGGGGACAGCTCTGTTGCCACACCTCCAGACGAATGGGGAGGGCAAGCCCCAGGCTTTTTTAGTATGTGAAGATGTTTCTTATACTCTCTGTTGCTCAAGTGAGAAATTAAGATGGTAAATTGCTGTCATGACCCAAGGGGTATGGCTGCCTTCTGAAACAACTGCTTAGTTCCCCCTGACCTTTTAAAAGAGAAAGACAGTGTGATGTTTCTTCCTGAACTTGTCTTTTTTTGAAATGGAGTCTCGCTCTGTTGCCCAGGCTGGAGTGCAGTGGCACGATCTTGGCTCACTGCAACCTCCACCTCTCAGATTCAAGTGCCTTTTGAGAAAGGCTACTCTACGTTCCAAGTAGCTAGGATTACAAGTGCCCACCACCACTCATGGTGAAGTATTTGTATTTTTAGGAGATACAGGGTTTGCCATGTTGGCCAGGCTGGTCTTGAACTCCTGATCTCAAGTGATCTGCCTGCCTTGGCCTCCCAATGTGTTGGAATTACAGGCATGAGCCACTGTGCACGGTCAGTTCCTGAACCTGTCTTTTTAATTTTTTGTTGATGTGAAAGAGTTTTAAAATCTTACATGTTACCATTTTGAAGGAGGATCAAAATTTTAATTCATTCGTATGATAATATTTACTGCACACTCGTTGTGGGCGAGATGCTGTGCTGATGCTAGGAACAAAATGGTGGTCAAAACCATGTCCCTTCCACCAAGAAGCAATCTAGCTAGGGACAGAAAGTGCAGAAATTTTAATACACCATGGTTAAGTGCTCTTGGAAGGCAAGTACATGCTGACGTGAGGACAAAAGACACGGGCATTTAACCACACTTGGGGTAGAAGAGAAGGAAAGCGTCCTGGAAGTGGTGACAGCTAAGTCAAGACTTGAGGGAGGAGTAGGAGGTAGCTAATGAAGAGTGGATAGGGAGGGTTTTCCAGACAGAAGGAAATGAGGGAATATGGCATTTTTTAAGAACCCTGGAATGTGGATAAACTGGAATTCTTGTTTTAAGATGAGAAAGCCACAATGGCTAACATAGGTTAATACCTTGCTCAGGACAGAGCCAGGATTTGAATGCAAGCTATTCCAATGTATCCTGCTGCCTCGTGGAGAGCACCCAGAATAGGAGTAATGTTAGGTATGTGATTACTATACTTTAAAAGGAAGAAAAATAACCACGGAATTCACATGTTTATTTTGTTGTGTATTCAGTATTCTGAAAAGTCCACACTAAGTTTCTGTGAATTCTAGTATTCATGCCAGTAGAGAGACTTAGGAAGCAATTTTTATAGCATCTGCTCTTTTTAAAATTTTTCTTCATTTTTATTGATTGATTGATTGAGACAAGGTTTTACTCTATCATCCAGGCTGGAGTGCAGTGGCATGATCTTGGCTCACTGCAGCCTCCACCTCTCAGGCTCAAGCGATCCTCCCATCTCAGCTTCTTGAGTAGCTGGGACTACAGTTGCAGGCTACCATACCTGGCTAATTTTTTAAAATTGTTTTATTTTATTTTTATCATTTTTTTCTTTTTCGCAGTCGCCCACTACCGCAAATTATGCAGTCGAGTTTCCCACATTTGGGGAAATCGCAGGGGTCAGCACATCCAGAGTGCAATGGATAAGCCTTGCCCTGGGAAACCCACCTTTGTGATCATGGTATCTCCCCTGCCAGGTAAGTATGCCCAGCTAATTTTTAAATTTTTTTTGGTAGAGATGAGGTTTCCCCATATTGCCCAGGCTAGTCTGGAACTCCTAGGTTCAAACCATCCTCCTGCCTCAGCCTCCCAAAGTGCTAGGATTGCAGGCGTAAGCCACCACACTTGGCCATATCTTCTATTAATATTTACTGAGATTTTATGACCTGTCAGGCACTGTGTGAAGTACTTTACATGTTGTGGCAGAGAATGGCCAGATGCTTAGCAATCCCAGTTCCTCTTCCTGGGCACATAGGGCAACTATATTTCTTGGTCCCCCTTGCAGTTAAGTAGAATATGTGACTGGCTTTTAACTAATGTAAAGTTGAGGTGATGGGTGCCACCTACAGGCCTGGGTGCTAACTCTGTCTTTGCTATTCTGCCAGTCATCTGGAGGTGTCCAGTGGAGGACTCTAAGCGAATAGAGGGAGCTTTCGTCCCGGAATCACCTCTTGGAGGAGAGCTGTGCAGAAAAGACACCCAGTTTGCATCAGCCTATTGATTGGGTGAGGAGTAAACCCTTATCAAGCCACTAAGATTGAATTTTTTTTCATAGCAGCTAGTGTGAACTACCCTGAATAATCTGTAAACCATATTTCATTTAATCCTTACAGCCACTCAGTAAGATGAGCATCATTATCAGTATTTTGCAGATGGGAAAATGAGGTCAGAGACTAAGTCACTTGCCCATGTCATTTAGTCAGTAAGTAGCAGAGCTAGGAGCGTGTTTGACTCCAGAGCTCACGCTTTTACTACCATGTGAAGAGTGTGCTTCTGAATCTTGGAAGAGTTCTTGCAAGAGACAAACATCAAGTGATTGAGAGAAAGAGAGAATGGAGGCTGAGAGAAAGTGGCGGGGGCACGGAAGGAGGAACAGCTGAGGGCTGAGAATGTTGTAGAGGGATGTAGAGGGTAGAGGGATGTGGCACGCCCAGGGAACCTGTGGGTAGAGCTGGGTGAACATCTTGCCCCTGTGGCTACCCTGGGGAATTTCTAGGGCAGATTTTGGGCTCTGGGTGGTTCCACTGTCTCATTTTCATTTTGCTTTATCTTGGTCTTTAGGATGATGCTGTTAAATGGGCATCCTTGGGGAGTCGGGCGGGCATCAGAGTGGGTAGGAAGTATGCATGAGTGGCTAACAAGCACAACTTGCAGTTTCGGTCCTTGGACTGGCTAGTAGGGAAGTTCCAGGACTTGTGCTCACTATGTCAGAGCTGCACACAACAGAGAGAGACACAGAGGGTACCGACCATGAGAAGGAGGCAGAGAGAAGGAAACTGTGTGGGTAGGAAACTTGGTACCCACACAGTTGGGTCCAGGAGAATTGCAGATGGACAGTGAGCCTCGCCCAGCTCCAGCAACAGCCATGGGAGGAGTCTCCAGCTGCCAAACCTAATTAGTGTCCACATCCCTTCACTTCTGCCTGGCTTCCTCCTGGAGGAGCACCAAAGAGCTCAGAAGGGACAAAACCCCATTCTCAACATTCTCCTCGACTCTACGTAGTGGCTCAGGCTTGGATGGGGAGTTCCTGGAACAGCTGGGTGAAAGGCTTCAGTGAAGAGTTTTAGGTAGGAGAGGGATATGGCAGATTTGCATTTTAAATAGAAGAGGAAGTCTAGAGCATGAAGGTGACTAGCAAGGGTACCTCACTAGTTAGTGACAGAATGAAAACTTTGGTCTCCAGATCGGAGTTCAACTCTGGCTATCAAACCACAGCAGCTAAGTTTGTGGAACTGTGAAGACTGCTTGAGGTCATGCCCATCAGTTTAGGAGGAAGGGGAAGAAGTACTGATCTCTCAGATGAAGGAATGTCCCTGCTAATTCCTTCGAATTAGCAGAGCTGGGGCTAAGAGCCTTCTCATTCCTATCATCTGTCTGGGACAGTGTTCTTGGTCATTACCCAAGGCCGAGGAGCCTGTGTACCTCAAAACCAACAGATCTACTTCTTTCTAGCCCCAGTTTGATCACTACCAGCCGTGTACCCAGGGACCAGTCCCTTTGCCTGTATTAGCTGTTGGCAAGATTGGAATCTGGGCTGTTGTAAAGCCAGACACCAAAGTGTTCTGAGAGCTGATAATGGCTTCTCAAGTAAGAGGGAGTGCAGTCCGTGGAAGCATTCAGCAAAGCATGCTGACTAGGGGGCTCTAGCCCCTTCCTTTCATCGCCTGCATGTGTTTGGCCTCACTCTGGGTTGTACGTTGTGCTGAGGCCCACCACACCATCTCGGGACAACTGGGGCCTTTGGCTGTGCTGGGGACACCTCCCTCCCCCAGAATGATTTTAAGAAAATCACCTTGTCAGGAAGGCTGTGGACCTGGTCCATTGTCACCGGTCATGAACTTAGTCCATTGTCATTGCTTTGTGAACATGGGATGTAAGAAGTTAAGAACAGAACATTGACAGAAATATCTCATGTCATTTTAAGAGACAGTCATGTCTTCCTTCTGCAGCCCAGATGGCCTTGACTTCTCTAGTTTTTAAGGGTGTCATTTCCCCTTAATTCTAAAATAACAGCAGTTTGAAATCCCATCCCACAAATGCAGGAAGTCCATCTGCTCTTAGGTTTCCAATTCCAGAGCCATCGTAGAGGGCTTGCAGCTCACCTCTGAGTGTCTCATGGTGGCAGCCTCTGAGCTGCAGCTGTTTGTCCGAAGTGTGGACACAGGCCCAGACATTTAAAAAATGCTGTCGAGCTGGGCGTGGTGGCTCACACCTATAATCCAAGCACTTTGGAGGCCAAGGCGGGCAGATCACCTGAGGTCGGGAGTTCAAGACCAGCCTGACCAACATGGTGAAACTGTCTTAAAAAAAAAAAAAGTAAAAAGTAAAAAAATGCTGTCAGAAGCTCTCAAATAACAAAGTACCAAAGAGATAGTTGGTTACGACTGCTCAAAGCAGTAGTTTCAGGGTACCCACCAGTTCAGCCGCATTTTGCAAACCCTCCTTAAGCTTCTGGCAGTGTTGGTGGCAGGGAGAGGCCGGTGAACTTCCTGCCTTTGGAAGTCTCTAGACCTCTCTGAACACCCTTCTTGCACATAAAAAAGAGGAGAGGTCTTCGTCTTCCTGCCCAAAGACCACCTTGCTTTGTTTTTAACTTTTTGCCTCAAGATGATTCACAACAAGAACATCAATGTCTTCCAAGAGAAATTCCTAGCCCCATCCTGAAGGTATAATCTGGCTCCAGTGGCTCATATTGGGCTCGTTGCCTTAAGCCTACCTTGGCCTTAAATAACACTGCAGGTGGGCCAGCAGCCGTGCGGCCCAGATAGTGGCAAGTCAGGCCCAATCCAGAGCCTGTGTCCACACTCAGTCCTTCCTCCCCAGCAGGGAAGAGACTAGGTCTGCCTTCTCCTCCTGCCCAGACAATACCTGGACAAAGGACAATGATATTTAGGCTGGGACAGCCTAAGTTGAGACTTATGGAAACCATTTCTGTAGTTCCTCAGGGGCATGGTTCTGCTAAGGACATACTCCACTGGCATTGCTACATGAAACTGGTAACACTTCAGTCTGAGGCCTCTGTCTTGGACCCATCACAGAATGTCTTCCAGAACAATGAGCATACATCTACTTTGTATTGACAAGACCAAGAAGGTTCACCCAATACAGTGGAGGCTCCCATGGAAGACAAATCCTGATCACTACTCTGTCATGCAGAAATGTCTTGTAAACCCTTGAATTACAGCCTCTCAGCTTCAAGGATTTAAAGCTCTGTATTCTCCCCTGTCTCCGGCAGCAACCAGAGTGCTCAGTGGGAAGACGTAAGCCTGAGGTTCAAGCCCCAGGTCTGTCAGTTGCCATCTGTGGCTTTGGGCAAGTCATGAATTCCCCAGGTCTCAGATTTCTTAGCTACAAAAGGAGGATAATACTGCTTCTTCCAAACTGTCAGCGTTGTGGAAAGGATGAATTCAAGCAAGAATTTGTTAAATACCATTGCCTAGGCATGATCGAATCCAAAAATTAGGAAGAAATTGGCCTTATCAGGCTCATGCACTTTTAGGGTGTTTAGACTTCAGTAGGTAACTTCATTATGATATGAGAAGAAACAGCTTGGCTCTAACGTGTTTTATAAACTCTAAAGTATTGTACGCTTGTGGATATATGCTGCTGTCATTTTTCCTATAAATTGGGTTTCCTTTCTGTTCATTGCTGGGCCCAGCATGTCTACAGCAGCTCACAGTGGGAAGCTGCTTCTCCCTGTCCCCAGGTTCCAGGAGGTCTCACTGCCCCCAGTGGAACCCTAGAATCTTTTCAGGGAGCTCCCATCATTCTACGTACATGCTTCCCTTCCAGCACTCTGCCCAGGACATAGTGGAAGTACAGTCTTTCCTGTTTCACAGAATTAATGACGAGTACAAGAAATGATAATTGGAGGCCAGCCAGGAATGGTGCATGGTGAGGGTGTACAAGTGCCCAGCAGAGGATGTGTGGGAGGAGGGCATGGAGAGAGAAGCTCTGTAGTCCTGAGGGTAGTGGAAGTTTTATAATTTATGAGAAAACGAAAGTCAGAGAGGAATAGCTATCTCAAGAGCATAGTGGGTTCACACCTTACCCCCAGGTTCATTCTGTGGTGATCTGACCTTTTGGGACAAAAGAACAAGACAGGCAATGTTCTTCTCACCTCCTCTTCCAGACTCTTTTAAACAGGCCGATATTTCGGTGATTTTGATGGGGGAGGTCCTGCTGATATCTCCGATAGTCCGTAGCCAACCTCCTTTCTGTCTTCACTGACCTGTCCCTCTCTCCTCCCCCGCCTCTCTTCTCAGGACACCCCAAAATTCCAGTGGAAAATTACCAGGACCATGAAAAAAACGAGCATTTCTTCTGAGCATTGTTCTAGTTCTTGTGTAAGGTGAAGTCATTTTTACATACAAAAAAATTTTAAACTAGCTGGGTACAGTGGCTCACGCCTGTAATTCCAGCACTTTGGGAGACCAAGGTGGGTGGATCACCTGAGGTCAGGAGGTCAAGACCAGCCTGACCAACATGGTGAAACCCTATCTCTACTAAATACAAAAGAAAAAAAAAATAGCCAGGCTTGGTGGCAAATGCCTGTAATTGCAGCTACTTGGGAGGCTGAGGCAGGAGAATCGCTTGAACCCAGGAGGTGGAAATTGCAGTGAGCCAAGATTGTGCTGCTGCACTCCAGCCAGGGCAACAAGAGTGAAACTCTGTCTCAAAAAAAAAAAAAAAATTAAACTTTAATTATTAAATGTGTTCAAAACCCATACAAACATATATGGAAATATACAGTTTTGATCAACACTTGATGCACAGTATGAAGTTTCAAAGAGGTGACTCATGTTTACTGTTGCACATTGTAGAAATTTTCAGCCTAACTTTGGAAAGCTGAAGTAAACAGATGCTGAGGATCTTGAAATTCTGGTAAGCGGTCACTACATGTATCTACATTTATAAATTAACAGAAGCGTTTCCACGTGATTACTGGGTGCTCGCCCATCCGCTGGTCCCAGGAGCGGCTTCCTGTCCACTCACAAAGTGAGAT